TTCAGCATGATTCTTTTTGTAAATTAATCAGGCAATGCTTCAGCAGGGGAATGTGTGTTGAAATATGATCAAAATATTGAAATTCACCCACAAGCTAAGAATCAAAAGTGGAACACAGGTAACATTTGAGACGGCAGAATATACATTGGTCTGCAGTAAGCCTCTAAGAGCCACAGTCTTGGGAGCCACAACTGGGAGCTGAAGGGTGCTTTTCAAGAAAATCCTGCATATTTTATGAGGTTTGGGTGAGGAACACATGGGTATGCTATGAAAGCATCCCAGTTAAATGTTAACTGCAGATAACTGACAGTGACTGAGGGATACCACAGGGAAACAAAACTCACATTTTGTATTCTTTGCATCTCTTCTGTTTCCTTGATGATACCCTAAACTAAAAGCCAAATGACATTAATCACTGCTCTGGTATGCTTTCTTTGGCTGAGAAGAGTGATGTGCATCCAAATTGGAAAAGGCACTATACTCAGGGAACACTAATTTGTTCAAACTTCTCCAGAGGTAACACTTGGTTCTGGGTTTCTGCTTATGTTTAGAAATATTTATGAATAGAAGGACAGTGTTAGAGCATTCTAATGTGTCCTGTTGACTTAATGGAACTCTGGATAAAGTAGGACACACACTCTTTGGGTTGAAAGAATTCAAGTTTTAAGATAGTAAATTTGCTGATTCAGACATGTCAGGGAAGGTATGGTCTAGGAACTACTCAGTGGAAATGAAAGCCCTATGGAGTTGTAAGCTTAGAGATTTCTATTTGCATATTTGTGGACTAGAAAATATCAGCCTGTGTCACTTTTGGCTCAAGGATGTTTAGGTGTTATTGAATTAGAAAAAGATTCTTCCATGTACTCAAAGCCAGCTAACTAGCATTCTATTAATACACTATACACTTCTATCAATACACTTTGAAGCTGAAGTTCCAACTGTTTCTATTATTCTGTTCTTCCCTACTTTGACTTGTTGGATGCTCCCAGGTGAGGACAGATGGCTGGGAGAAGCGAGGTTTCATAGCACTCGGTATGATCAAAATCTCATTATGTCTTCTAAGAAGTTCTTTGTCCTATTACTTATTCTTTACCAACAAAGTTTCTGCATCTTTGTACTAAGAGATTTTAACACTGGTTGTTGTTATAGGAATTTTCAGTATCCACTTTAGAATATTTCACCTTCTACTGAAAAACATGGTAGGCCATCACTGCTCTTTCTTGGTGAAAGGTAATCACTGACATATTAGCCTTTGCAAGCTTCAGGTGTGACCTTTGCTTTCCCTTGTACTGTCACCAACAGACAAACACACAAAGTCAGCAGGTTTTTTTCCACAACATACTAATCAGGGATGTTCAGGATTTTTTATAATCTTGTAGTAGAGTCAAAGATGGAGAAGGTTTATAGAGTTAGTAAAAACAAGACCTGGAGCTGACTGTGGCTCAGATCATGAGCTCCTTCTTGCAAAATTCAGGCTTAAATTGAAGAAAGTAGGGAAAACCACTATGCCATTCAGGGATGAGCTAAATCAAACCCCTATGACTATACAGTGGAGGTGGCAAGTAGGTTCAAGGGATTCAATCTGGTAGACAGAGAGCCTGAAGAACTATGGATGGAGGTTTGTAACACTGTACTAGAAGCAGTGACCAAAACCATCCCAAAGAAAAAGAAATGCAAAAAGGCAAAATGGCTGTTTGAGGAGGCCTGACAAATAGCTGAGGAAAGAGGAGAAATGAAAGGCAAAGGAGAAAAGTGACAGATACATCCATCTGAATGCAGAGTTCCAAAGAACAGCAAGGAAAAATAAGAAGGCCTTCTTAAATGAACAATGCAAAGAAACAGAGGAAAACAATAGAATGGGAAAGATGGGCAATCTCTCTTGAAGAGCATCAGAGACCTCAAGGGAACATTTCATGCAAGGATGGGCGTGATAAAGGACAGAAACAGTAAGAACCTAACAGAAGCAAAAGAGATTAAGAACAGGTGGCAAGAATACAAAAAAGAACTATACAGATAAGGTCTTAATGACCCAGATAACCAGGATGGTATAGTCACTCACCTAGAGCCTGACATCCTGGAGTCTGAAGTTAAGTGGGCCTTAGCAGGAATTATTAATTTTAATTGGAAAAGACCTTGATGCTTAGAAAGACTGAAGGCTAAAGGAGAAGGAAGCAGCAGAGGATGAGATGGTGAGATGGCATCACCAACTCAATGTACATGAATTTGACCAAACTCCAGGAGACAGTGAAGGACAAAGGAGCCTGGTGTGCTGCAGTCTGTGGGGTCACAGAGTTGGACACAAACTTACTGACTGAAAAACAACAGTAATAAATCAACCAATTCCCATAAAAGGAGAAAGAGGGACTTTGCTGATAAACTGTTTGGAGGTCTCAGGCGCAAGCAATCTAGTTGACTCATGTAATCAACAGCAGAATTTGGGGGGGGGCGTCAATTAGAGAATAAAATAGGCTCAAATAGAGGATAAAATGGGCTTTTCATCTACACTCAATTGAAAAGATAACCTTCCTTAGGAAAAGTCATAAGCAATCCACATGGAAAAACAGTAATACAGGATATTTGTAAAAATATACACTAGTCTAGAAGTCTTACAAGATCTGAACAACTATAATATGAATTATTCTACAAATGCCATTAAATTATACTCAAATGAAGTAATTCCTCCAAGTAATAGTCGCCTTAAATAAACTGAATTATTTTACCAACAAGAATCTGGAAGGGCCCAAATTATTAACTATATAAAATCTTTAAGATATAGGACAAACTTAAAAGTTACACTGTTAAGTGGGCATTTAAAACTAATAAACTGAAAATAAACTGCTTCAAGAAAACTATCAAAAGCAAAATAGTAAATATTCAGTGGCTCTTTGTATTCCTCAAGCACTTGATTTCAAACCTAGACCTGTGTAAGTGCTTCTAACAAAAGCCAGCATCAGCCTAGTTACTCAAAATAGACACAAATCAAGAGGCCTTTTTCAAAACTGGCATTAAATTTATTAGTGTTAAAGTGTTAGTCACTCAGTCGTGTCTGACTCTTTGCTACCCCATGGACTGTAGCCTACCAGGCTCCTCTGTGCGTGGAATTCTCCAGGCAAGAATACTGGAGTGGGTAGCCATTCTCTTCTCCAAGGGATCTTCCCAACCCAGGGATCAAACCAGGGTCTTCTGTATTGCAGGCATATTCTTTACTATCTGAGGCACCAGGGAAGTCCCCAAAACATGGTACCTTGAAAATCAAGATGCTTCTCTTCACATTAGAGGCCAGAATGATTAGTTGCAAGTAGCAATGTAAGTAATTTATTATGAGTTCTAATAAGAAAAAACAAATTTAATATTTAAATTTTGAACAGGTATGACAATACATACTTCGAGAAAACAGTCCTATTTAGAAGAAGAGAAAAAGCTATTTTTAAAGTTGAATCGCCTGGAGGCACTTTGAGCCTCAAGATTTGATAGGCATTTCCTTAAGACCTCTAGCCTTTCTTTATGCATTTAAAGGAGACACAATAAATTGTTTACTAGGGTTGTGTGTGTGTCCACATGTTTAGTATCTGTTAGCTCATTAGAATGGTTGCAGGGGGGCAGAGAAAAAGACTAGGGGAAGAAAGGAAAAGGGAATGGAAGAAAAGAAATAAGGGAAGGAAATTTATATGACGTATCTAACATTCACTAGGTTAAATTAGGCAAATGGAGGAAAGATGGTTAAAAGAGAACATCCATGATCAAAATAATCAAAAGATGATAACAGATTCAGCCTTTGCAAAGACCAAAGTGCATAAATACAGGATTTATTATATTTATTCAGTAGGAACATACACAAAACCACCTGAAGGAAATGAGTCTATGTGCAGAGGGACTACAGGGAGGCATGAATGAGGGAACGATCTGAAATCATGGCAATGATGGAGCAGGCCATCCTGCTATTGATGGGACTCTGGGGACAGTATCCATATTTTGTCAGAGCAGCTAGTCAGATTTCACAATCTTTAGGAAACATAAAAAAAAATTTCTCGTGTGCCCTGGGAAATTAACATGAAACAAAGCCCAAAACATGGCAACAGACTGCATTTCCCAATTACCATCAGAGACAGTGACATTCACTAAGCTGTTAATATCATAAAATATGATTTTTTTGTGAAGATAATTACCCAATTTGAACAACTAGTCTATATTATGAGGTTAAGACCTTTAAAGTTTCGGTTTAATGATGGGAAGAGTAAAATACTTTGACTTGTTTTTTTTTCCCATGATGGGAGAGCTGTGGATTACATTCTAGGGTTTGACCTTATCTGATTAAAGCAAAAGCAGGCAACCTTTGTGCATCCCCTTATTATTATTATTATTATATTTTTTTTATTTTAGAGCTTCCCTGGTGGTTCAGGCAGTAAAGCGTCTGCCTACAATGCAGGAGACCCAGGTTCAATCCCTGGGTCAGGAAAATCTCCCGGACAAGGAAATGGCAACCCACTCTAGTATTCTTGCCTGGAAAATCCCATGGATGGAGGAACCTGGTAGGCTGCAGTCCATGGGGTCGCAAAGAGTCAGACACAACTGAGCGACTTCACTTTCTTTCTTTCTTATTATTTTGAAATTTTACAGGTCCCTAAAATCTCAAGTCCTAGAGCCACTGATACAGAACACCAAAAGCATAATCTCACAGGTTAGGAGTACAGTAACTCAGACACCCAGAAGAATATTATGAAAGCACTGAGTTTAGAGAGCTAAATAAATAAATAAATGCAAAAGACTGCTACAAGAAATGTATAAACAACCTGGCAGCCTGGTCTTTCAAACTAAAACCTGTATTTTCAACTGGGAAGGCACTGGGAAACTCCATTTTCAACATCACCACTTATAATTCCACAGAAAGCATATGATGACTTTCTTAGTGTTGTAATAATGATTTTAAAATTTGAGGATTCAGAATTCTATGAATATAGCGCTAGATTAAAGTTACCACTCTATCAGTGATTAGTACTGACCTTTCAAGTTAAACGTGCCCCTGTGTTGCTTTTTCTCGCCGAAGAAACAAGAATAGCTTCCCATCTGTTTGCTGCCAATGACGGCGACCCTAAAGATAATTTATGTTATTATTTGTTTGTTTGTTTGGTTGGTTGGTTTTGTTTTTTCCATTTATTTTTATTAGTTGGAGGCTAATTACTTTACAATATTGTAGTGGTTTTTGCCATACATTGACATGAATCAGCCATGGATTTACATGTGCTCCCCATCCCCATCCCCCCTCCTACCTCCCTCTCCATCCCATCCCTCTGGGTCTTCCCAGTGCACCAGCCCTGAGCACTTTTCTCATGATAATTTATGTTATTAATACAGGCTTAGTTCTCAAAAATGCTTCTTAATGAAAACGAAAGACTCAGCCATTAATCAAAATTTTAAAAAAGAAACAATTCTGCAAATTAGAGTATTAGAATAACATTCAAGTGACAGCAAAGGAAAGAATGCTCAGTCAGCAAAAGTATCTAGAATTTAACTGATTTCATCGAGCCATACAGGTTAAAATTTTGTATACTCACCTATACTGGGTATACAGAATACTTCCCGTTGCATTGACAAGATAATTATCCTCAAGTAATTTATCACCTTTTTTCCAAGTCACATTTACTGAATTCAAATCTCCAGATGTTGTGAATTGGCATGTGAGTTCTACATTAGAAGGTCTTTCTAAAGTGATATTTTTTTCTACTGGCATATTGGACTGTTCTACTAGCCACAAAATAAAACAAACAAAAAAAAGATGTAAAAGTTACATTTAGGGAAAATTCAACATATAAAAAGTTTAAATAATCAACAACAGTGCTATATCTACAGTTACCTAATGTAACATTCCTTTGAAGCATTATTCCTCTGTCAACACAGATTTGGTTCCCTTTATTATTTTCTTTCATAGGCATAGCTGAAAAAAAAAGGTTTGTTGCAACAGTAATGGAATCACAAAAGCCTAACTCTATGATTTTAATCTACTCAAACTCTTGCTAGCTGACAAGGATATAGGGGGAAGAGTTCTATTTAAAGAAGTGCCATATGCTCTTGACAGGGTAGAAACAGAACAACTGTAAAAGCAAAAACTAGTGGGGATAGAAAGATCTGACTGTTTTAACTCCTTTTACTAATCATGTCATTGGTAGTTACTACAAGAATGTCTTGTGAATATATTTTGTGTGATATACTAACTCTCTCATTCCCAGTTTTCTTAAATCCTTAAGAACTTGTAGGGGTGGGATAAAGATGCAGTTGTGAGACAGAAGAATTTAAATAAACATCCTGCAGTTCTGAATTTTCACTGAATTTGAAATACCAGTACAAAGCCATTAGGTGATATATCTATATATAAATAGGAATATGTAAATATCAATATATATATATGTATCAAACTTTAGGAAGATATGTAGAGCCAACTTAATTTTGAACAGTGGTAAATTAAAAAAAAAATCAAGTAGGCACACTGCTCTTTCTATAATAATTGTACCACTGGTAATCAAATAATAAAGAAGGATAACTTCTCTGTATAGAATTCCAACAAATAAATGCAGAAATCATAGGAACAGGCATTTTGCATCGATCGCTGAAATCATCTCAAAAACAGAATTGTGTGTCTCCTGAAGAGGAACACCCCATTACCTAAGTATTAAGTGTGTCCAAAAAAAAAAGTAAAGTGGAAGGGAGCCCTAAAACTTAAGTCTCTCAATCCAATTACTAGTTTTTAGGAAAACAGAGAATAGGAAAATATTTTAAAACATGAATTTTTTAAAAAGTAAAATAAACTATAATATTTAGGGATGTACACCTAAGTGATAAAACAATTTCAAAAAGCAAGGAAGAGACTATACAAAAATCAGAACAACGATGCTTATTTCAACTGGGAAGGAAAGGGGTAGGTTTGGGAGGGGACATTGCTTTATAGAAACACATTTTTCCATCTCATGTTTAATAATATAGTATCATTAAAAGTGTAATGCAAAGCCAAAATGTAGAAAGAAAAAAAAATTGAATTTAAAACAGCATAACATCACTCTTAATTACATTTAAAACTTTACAAAAATGCTTCTTTAAGCAATGGCTAGGTGCAGTTTTTCGAACAGTGAAGTACAGCTAGTGTGAAGTGCTTTGTGAGTGAGCACATGCTTGAAATGACTACCCATGTAATTCCAACACTGCTGAATTGAATTTTATGCCCCAAAAGCAAAACAAAACAAAACTCCTAGGTATGGAAAGACCTTAACAAAATCCAATTATACAGGAGAAAAAAATATGAGTCAGGTAAAACTGAAGGGATTTATACATTTCAGCATATGTACATGCACAAATTATACTAGATACTAATAACAGGAGAAAATGTTTCTAGATCTGCTGTATTTGGTCCTGAGCTTCTGTTTTCTGTAAAATTTCCTTGCTCTAGGATAGCCATAAATCTTAGTCCTGTCTGTCAAAGAAGTCTATTTCTTCCTAAGAGTCTGTCTTCACCCACATCCTCATTTCAATCTAGAATATTCTATCTTACCACATTACAGAAAGTGCTTTCTCTTGGGTTAAAAATGGCCTATTTAACCTGATGACTTCTTTTCCAAGCTCATGTTTTGTCTGATGTCTTTGAAATATCAGATGTTGCCAGAGACTACCTCTATGTCCTTAGTTGCTCAGTCGTGTCCGACCCTTTGTGACCCCATGGACTGTAGCCCACCAGGCTCCTCTGTCCATGAGATTCTCCAGGCAAGAATACTGGAATGAGTTGCCATTTCCTTCTCCACGGGATCTTCCTGACCCAGGGATTGAACCAGTGTCTCCTGTATCTCCTGCATTGGCAGGAGGATTCTTTATGACTGAGCCACCTGAGAAACCCGAAATTCCCTTAACTTTGCTCCTGTTTCACAATCCTAACATTGTGAAAATGTGTACATTAATTAATGTGTACATTAATTCTTCCAACTACCCCTAAATGTTGGTTTCCCTTGGGACTCTGCTCGCTAGTCTTTTTCTTTTCAATTTGACCTTCCCAGGTTGGACTCAACTATTATTTCTAATATCCTTTATTTGTAAAACTGCTGGCTCCATTCAAGACTTTCTTCCTGACCTCCAGGCCCACAGCTCCAGCTGTCTACTAAGCATCTAAATCTAGATATTCCAAATGTTCTTCAAACTCAAAAGAGCCAAGGGAGATTCCTTAGCCTTCTCTTCTCCTGATCCCTAAAAAAATCACATCCATTAGAATTCAGTTGATTTTTATCTCTGAAATGTCAGATTTGCCCAGTTGTCTCTAATCCCCCTTACTGTGGGGCTTTGATGAGATTGAGAACATGCTACCCCCAAAATATGGCACCTTGGTATACTAAATATCTTAAGCTGAAGGAGTTTGTGGAAACAGCAGAAGCAGGAAGGTCACTGACATTCCCCTTGCCCACCTCTCCTGAAACAGCTCATAAAACCCTGATGGAAGGAGCATCTTTATCTCTAAAGACAAAGGGACACATAGAAGAATTCTAACAGGATTTTCTAAATTTCTCCCAGTTTACCACATGTATCTCATACTCTCTATCATATTCTCCTATAACTGTCCACTTTTCATCAAGCCTAGCATAAAAATATGCAGATTTAACTGTTTCCTTGGGTCTTCATTTCCTTCTGAAGGATGTGTGTAACATAAAACTTACATTAAGTTAATATTCATGCTTTTCTCCTATTAATCTGTTTTTTCAGTTTAATTTTCAGACCCAGTCAGGGACCCCCCTAAGAGGGCCCAGGAAAATCTTTTCCTCCCCTACACTTTCATTATCTTTCACCAGGACCAGAAAAATGACTTCCTAACTTCTCTTGACTACAGTTCTTCTTCTACTTGTTCTCTATAACAACAACAAAGTTGTCCTTCTAAAGCAAAACTTGGATTATTTATCTGCCCTGACTAGATACCTTNAAAAAGGGGGGGGGGGTATTCTTTTAATCCTAGAAGGAACACTTACCATAAGACCTACCATCTTATCTGTAGGTACACTGTTGTATAATAAACTTACTCATCTTGCATAACTGAAACTTAGTACATTTGACTAGTACCTCCCCCATTTCCCCCTCCCACTAGCCCCTGGAAACTACCACTATATACTTTGCTTCCATGAAAGTGTCAGTCACTACTTGTGTCTGACTCTTTGTGATCCCATGGATTGAAGCCCACCTTGCTCCTCTGTCCATGGAATTCTCCAGGCAAGAATACTAAGGGGGTAGCCATTCTCTTCTCCAGGGGATCGTCTCAATTTAGGGCTCAAACCTGGGTCTCATGCATTCCAGGTGGATTCTTTACCATCTGAGCTAGCAGGGAAGCCCTTGCTTCTTTGAATTTGACTATTTTGGATACCTCCTATCACAACAGCCAAGATACAGAAACACCCCATCCATCCATCAATGATGAACAGACAAAAACAATGGGGTATACACAAACAGTGAAACATCACTCAGCCTTAAAAAAGAAGGTAACTCATTCAGCAGTATACAACAACACTGATGAACTCTAAGGATACCATGCCCGTGGACACCACACCATGTGAAATGTGGCAGCCACAGGACAAACGCTACACAATTCCACACGTATGGAGGGGTCTGCATCCTGTAGTCTCTGCTCATAGCAGTCACAGCCTTTGCTGGTACTGCATGGCTCCTCAGAAGACTGAACTAGTTTGGTTTATTCCCCTCCTTCATTTTTGAAAGGAAAGCTTAGTTTGTAAAGAAAGTCTCAGGAAGTCAAAGTGTCTAGGAGATGTGGCAGATAGATGCACCATCACTCAAATCTCCAAAACACCCTTTCATATCTGACAAAACTCTGCTTTAGGGATAAAGTCTTTGTAGACATCTGTGAATCTCTCCCAGGTCTGAGTTGAGTTTATTCCTGCTGAATTCTGAATGCTGCTAAGTCCAAGTCTTAACTCCTGCAGGGTTCCCCTGTTCAGAGCAAGGAGAGCCGGGCCTCACTGTAGGGCAAGAGATGCTGAAGGTAGAGAACCCAGAAAAGGCTATTTGATTCTTGCATTATACCTCTGGCCCCTCATAGGCTGATGACAAACTTTCCTGGGGAGAACTGGCAGGGAGATGCAGTGCCATTATCACTCCTAGCAGGAAGCAGTGTAGAGATATTTATGTTCCAGAAGGTGGTTCCAGGGCACCATGCTCTTCTTGGTGATGCAGTTAACTGGAGCCTCCCAACATAGCAGGAAGTTAGAATATGAATCATTCCCTCATTTCACAAGAGAGCGGCCTGATGTTAGGGGCTCTTGTAGAGGAAGGGCAAAACAAAGTATATTGGACACTTCAATTTCCCCATTTATAAAATGGGACAATACATATTTTATGAGACAATAGAAAGGATGAAATGAGCTATCATGAGAAAAGGAGTAGTCATATAACATAGCAATTGCTGAATAATTACCCACTTCTTTCCTCTCACCATTTATCTCACTGGGGGATATAACAAAGTTATCATGTATGTTGCTAAAAGTTATATATTAATTATATCATTTAATCTTCACAGCAGTTCTACAGTGTTAAGTACCACTATTCTCTCACTATTTCATGGATGAGAAAGCTAAAGCAAGCAGAGGTTGACTATCTTGCCCAAAATCAAGCATAAAGATAATAATAGCAGAGATTCTCAAACTCAGGTGTGGCTAAGTCCAGATTCTCATAACCAATAAATAGTATATCCCAGCTCTCAAAGATGTGAAATGCTCATGACAATGGAAATAACTTCATCACTTTCAAACTACTGAACCAAGATTTTAAATGAAAGAAAACACTACCAGAAGATGAAACAAATTTATAACATAGCAATATACTTCTTCTGCTTGCTCCTCAGAAGAAAAGCTATGACAAACCTAGACAATGTATTAAAAAACAGAGACATCACTTTGCCAACAA